AAGTCCCCACTTTCAGAGTGTGTTATGTCTAGGAGGCAGCAGAGGAACTGGGAGCATGGTTGATAGATTTAGGGGTGTGGTTTGAAACTCATGACAAGGGGTGATGGTTGGAGCTTTGGAAACATATAAGGTACCAGGGAAGAAAAAGCAAAAAGGTTTTGAGAGAAAAGAAGACCTGAGGTGATAGAACCTAAGAGCATTCTGTGGAGAACCAACTAATTTCACTCCATGATAGAAATTGAAAGCACATTCTTCATCAAGCCAACACAGCAAACCCGTCCTCAAAATATCCTTTTGTGGCTAAGAAGCTTTAACACACAGAAGAGAGAATGTCCAGTTAGACGCCCGGCCTCCTTGACAACATCACTCCCGTATATGAAGCAAGATTACACCAGAGTCCTATATGGTTTTCTACAAGAGCAGCTCTATTTGGTCTCCTTGGGAAGGTCTTTTATAAATACCAGGGTATGTAAAAATGCTATAGATGACTACCTAAGTTGCTAGCCCCTCAAATCTTTTCCTAGACCAGCTGGTGCTTTTTTTTTTTTTTTTAACTTTCCCCCGAGTTATTGGAGTAGATCCAGAAGCAGATTCTGAGATCCTCAAGCTTTTCCTTATTTACCCTGCCAGTAATTACATGTCACAGGTTGCCTTCCCTACTGGAGTCTGAGGCTGAGCAATTAGTCTCCCATTGTCTTTACAGGAAATGACATCCGTGTGGCTTCTGGGGAAAGCAACTGCTGACCACTCTGGTTAAAACAGTTTGGAAAGTGTTCAGCACTTCCCCTGGTTGATCACTTAAACTGGCTGATTTAGAAAGCTTTTGGAAATGCGCAAAGCAAACAAAGGTTGTCAGGTTGTCAGAACCAGAAATCCTCCTGGGTCAGTTCCCCGCACAAAACAAGTCTCTAAACTGTTGCTCTAGTCTCTCAATGCACTGACTTGTCTGGACTCTTCAGCATGTGGCTGAGCCCAAAGTCTAGGGGTTCTGTTCTTTTTACAATGCTTTACGGGGCACTGATTTGCTGGACAGATGCTTTCCAGCGGCAGATAATTGAAAACCCAACCCAAGGAGGCCTGAGCAATAAGAAGTTTCCTGGAGCTCCATTGGTTCCACAGACTTCAGGATTGACCTGATAGAGTCACCCCAACTTCACTTCAGTGGGGCTTTTTGTCTTTGCCCTCCTCTCTGAGCCAGCTTTATCATTAGACTGGAGCAAGGTAGCTACAGAAGTCCTAGGCATCCTGTCCCACACAACATTCAGCGGGGGGGGGGAGAGGGGGGTTGTCTCAGAATGAGAAGTTCCCAGCAAAAACATTCTTCACATCATGTTGGCCTGAATTGAGTCACATGCCTAATCTTGAACCAATCACTGTCAAGAGGAATGTGTTCCACTTAGATCAGTGCATTTGAAACCCTGTGGACACACAGATCACCTGGGGATCTTGTAAAATAAAGTCTGATTCGGTAGGTTTGGGCTGGGGCCTCAGAGCTAACATTTCTCAGAAGCTCCCCAGTGATGTTGATTCTGCTGGGTGGCACACCACAAAGCCTTGGGCCCTTCGGGTCCCCACTCAGCAGCTGGGAGTGCTGTCACCTGCCCCTGAGGCACTGTGGCTGAAGGTACATAGGGGATCTGTTAGGAAGAAGGGCGAAGGAACGATTGACCCATGCATGTGAGGACTGTATTAGAGGTATTTGTTCCCAGTGGTAATGAGAATGTTAACTTTAAACCAGGAGCTGCACAGGGTCTATGTAGTAGAAGCAAAAAGTTCGTGCAGGGCAATGTGTTGTGTGGGACTGCCTATTGGTATCTTACTATTTATGAGGATGTATATGTCATAATTCTTTGAAACAAAAGATTAAACAGTCATGTTGCCCTCCTCGTTATCATTCAGTTATTTTTATTTAATATCATATATTTAGTGTGTCTCGAAAAGAACAAATTCAAATGAGATGGATGTAAATGTCCATAAGTTTAAAAAGAGTGTGCCAAGCCCAGCCTTTGATCTGAGTGAATGTGTCATCTGTCTTGGTTCTCGGGAGAGAGAGTACACCCCTACTGTCCTCAGAGTCACTTGATATGATGTTGAGCATGAAAAATGCTGCCAGTGGTGGATTTATGCCAAAGCAAATGGTCACAGTGCCTTTATGAGTGATTATCAGGGGGAGAAAATCATTATGCTCTCACCATTTGGAAAGGAAGAACTATTTTGTGATTTTTTTTTTTTTTTTGTAAGTTTACATATTTAAGTGACCTCTACACCCGTCTGGGGCTCAAATCCATGACCCTGATACCAAGAATCACATGCTTTTCTGACTGAACTAGCTAGACACCCCCTATTCTGTTATTTTAGAAGTTTTCTTAATAAAAGATACACAGGAGTCCTGGGCTGCAGCTGTTTAGGGGAAAAGCTGGTGAGACCAAAGGACTGGTGTCCGTCCCGGGGCAGATCCATCGTAGACCCCATGGGGTTCAGAGTGAAGTACGCAGCCAGATGTTAAGTAGACCTTCCTGAGACAGTCTCTTTGGTGGGATTTTAATCTCTGACATCATATGCAAGGACGGTGTCACTTAGGAGTGAAGATGACATTTCAGTTCCCCATCTATGGGAACCACAGGCTCACATCTGTAAGACAAATGGGAAGCCAGAGCAAATCTTCATTGGCCTTGCCTACATAGGTCACCAAGGTGCCCCTATTTAGGAAATCACCAGATATTTCTCATCTTTGCAAAACCCATGAAAGGTTGAGAGATTCCCAGTTCCTCTCTACCAGGTGGGGGAAAGCTGCTGGACTCAGTGCTCCGTGAAGGCAGGAACTGTGCCCGCATCATGCAGGAACCCCAGTGTGATGGCCCAGCTGAGTGTCCACACTCTAAAGAGAAGTGAAAGAAGAGAACGTTTTGTTGCCTAACTTCAGTAATTTATACTCAAAATATGGAGTGTTTAGGAGTCCTGTCTACGTATTTAGGACCTTACAGCCTGCCAAAGAGAGGTGAATTCATAGTAATAATAGGTGATCTGGGGGGTCCGGCAAGAAAGCCCTTAGACTAACTGATTGATTCAAACAGTGCTGGCCACACGCCTTCTGGCCTGTGTGTGCTGTGAGGCAAAATGCTATTAGCCACGGGAGGAATAAAAAAACAGCACCTTCCCTTACAGCCTAAAAAGCAGGATACAGTAAGTGTATTTCAAGTATCTATATCAAGTGAAACATAATTTTTGAAAAGAGAAAAAGAGAGGTAAGATCATAGCCATTGGGAAAATTAAGGTAGAAAGGGCTCAAGGAGGGGCACCTGGGTGGCTCAGTCAGTCAAGCATCTGTCTTCAGCTCAAGTTATGGTCCCAGGCTTTTTTTTTGGCTCAGCAGAGAACTTACTTCTCCCCCTCCCTCTGCCCCTCCCTTCCCCTCTACTCATGCTCTCACTCTCTCTCTCTCTTTCTCTCTCTCTCTCTCTATTTCAAACAAATAAAATCTGGAAGGAAGGAAGGAAAGAAAGAAGGAAGGAAGGGTGGGCAGACTCAAGAAGAAGAGGAGAGTTAGGCCAGGCCTAAAAGCAGGAGCTCATAACCTGAGTCCATGAGTGGAATTCAGGGCTCTGTGAACTTGGATGGGGGGAAAAAGTTGTTTTCACTAACCCTTAACCAAAATCTAATATTTCCTTCTATTACAAAGTAGCATTAGTTTTTTTTTCACCAATAGAAATTATGGGTATTTTCATATTACATTTTGGTTATAGATATCCTAAATATCATTTATGCCCAACAGTACTTCAAATTACAGTAATTTTTAGACTTTTGCTGGAACTTATTTAAATATGAAAAGAAAGACATCATAATTTTGTTATATATTTTGATAACTATTTATCAATATACTTCTTTTGAATGCTGTTCATTTCCTGCATTAATTTCAAGCATTTAAAAACATTATGCTGAGAAACATGTCTCTAGACTGCTATGGGACAAAGAAGACCAAGAGCCCCTGCCCCAGAAAGTGGCTAGGCTCCTACCGGCAATTCAGAGACAGAGACACTCGGGGAAGGAACTGGCATGCCCATGGGCTCAGGCAGGACAGGTGACAGGACACTATAGCTTCCGGTGGGAAGCTGTGGGGATAGAGCAGAGGGGAGCTGGAGTCCCAGGCTAATGTAACTTCACACGTAAATTTGTAGGTCACGGGAAACAGTGGAAGGTGTTTCCACAAGGCTTTAAGCTGTGTTTAGGAAGAATGCCTTCCAGAACCATGAGAACAGGATTGGAAGGGAAGAAACCTGGGGCTAGGGAACCGGTTTCTTCAAGGAGCTATGCCAGCTGGTGTAATGATAAGATGGAGTGAGGCGCTGAGTTCCAGCACACCCGCAGGACTAGAAGGGCAGGCTGGGGCCCTCATTTACCGAGGAGGTGAGGAAGGCCGGGTTTGTTTTCAAGCCTGGCTGATTAGGAGACAGATAATAGCTCCTTGCATGCACTAAGTGTTTACGACATGCCAGATGCTGTTTTAAGCCTTGCTCTGTGACATTTATATGTCATTAAATTTATCTCATTTAATCTCCATAACCACCCTGGGAGGTCAGTACAATAATCCCTGATTTACAGATAAGGAAGTGAACTCCGGAAATGAAAGGTGAGGGTCTCACAGTCAGCAAGTGAAAAGAGAGTGTGTTATTGAAAGAAGTAGGAAAAAGAATTGGTTTGGGGAAAATTTTTATGAGTTCACTTTTAGATAGTTTTTGCATTGTTTTGTCTCCAATTATTTTAAAGGGCTAAAAATTCAAATAAAGTAGGAGCAAAGCTTCTGGTTTATTTCATCCTCCAGAGTTTTATTTATTTGTTAACTCATAAATTGTTTCCATCTGGGAAAAACAGAGAAGAATCTGGCAGTAAGGCTTTGGTACATGGATGAGGGCCTCAAATGAGGAAGACTACGTGGTTTCCAGAAGCAAATGACTTCTGTTCAGCAATGTATTTTTTTCCTTTTGTCGTGGTTTGTTTTTCAGGACCGGTCCAGCAGCTGTAGAAGAAGACATGCGGTGTATATAAAGTTTGTAATAGTTGGGGGAAATTTTGGTAAGTGTTGCTGCATTTATTTCTAATACCTTTTGTTGTAAAATGGTGCCCCAAAGGGTAGCCATTGCCTCGTTTCATGCATCTTTTAAATCTGCACTTAACTTAGACAAAATGGGATTTTATAATTAGATGTGACATTCAGTCGGTACTTGTTGACAGTATGACATTTTTTCTTGTCATTGCTGATGTTATTAAGAAATAGGGGGTTGTCTAAGGTTCAATAAGAAGTCTAGATTTAGGAAGCTTCTGGACACAGGGTAAAGAATACCCTTGACAGTTAGCTTATGGTCTAAGTAAGCCACAGAATGTAAGTGTGATGAAGGGCAGACCAGTAGGGTAACAACAGCGACAAAGTCTCCCCAGCAGAGAAATCCTTCCGGCCTGTCTGTTGAAGTGAGAAATGGCAATTGGCTGTTTGTGGAATGGGAAATGGAAGGGAATCGAGAGCCCCGTCATGTGTGGGAGTCGGTTCCACCAATGACAGTGGCCCAAGAGACCAAGGACATTAAGTTCGGCAACCACTTAGAATACCTTCCTAGCAGTAGTAAGAACAGTCTTCAGGGTCAGGCAACCTTGGCTAAAATTTAAGTTCATTTGCTAACTGGTTGGTACATTACTCTCTGAGCCTCAGTTTCCTCGTCTGTAAAATGAGGCTTGTAATGTTACCCACTTCGTACAGTTATCGCAAGAGTAAACTGAGCGAGGTGGTGCTGGGGCGTAAGAGTGACTCAGTAAAACAGTTATTCTTGAAAACGGGACAGCCTTTTTGGAAACGGGGCATTTATCACTGAAATCAAACCACCCAAAGGTGTACATATCTCCCAGCAGGAGGGCCACTGGGGATGGCACGCCACCTTTGCTGTCCCAAGGGATGTCACAGCCGATCACCACAGACTGTCCTCCAGAGTCCACTCCATAACACACTGTGGCAACCCCAAGACATTTGTCATCTTCTCGCCTCCTGTCTACCCATTCTTAGAGAGGCTTGGCAAATTTAACTTCCCTTCCTGCCACCTCTACAGACAAGTGCAGTTACATTTGTCAGAGTTTTGTTTGGTTTTGAAGTTAATGTTACTTTGAACAAAAATAATGAGAAGGAAAAGAAGAGTTGGGAGCAGTTACCATATTTAGGCTTTTGTTTCCAAACCTTTCTTCTGATTTTTTTCATCTGTGCTTACTAGGTCCCTTCGCAGAGGTCCAGTTATTGGGCTGAAATTTTTGAGCTTTGACTAAAAAAATTTGGCTCTGGGATAGGGCTTTTATCTTTGGTTGGAAGGAATCAACCAGATCACTCACTGCAGATGGGCTGGTGTTGAAGATTGGTGTCCCTAGGTGGATCCCTCCGGTTTCACAGAATCGAAGAGATGGCCATGGCCTCAGGGTTGTCTGGCCCATTCTCCCACCAGCCAAAACAAGGTCTCTTCTACAGAATCTGTGACAGGGGAGTCCGAATTCTCTCAGGTGAGGAGCTGGCACTGCATAAAGCAGCATGCTCCAAGTAAAGAAAGCAGTTAAGGAACACAGGAAGAGTTGAGGGGGTGATGATATCGTTCTGGATCTTGGATCTGTGGCCATATTTATACAACTGTATGTTTCATGAAAATTCATAGAGCTCTATGATAAAAGGTTGAATTTTGCTCTGTTAATTAAATCTCAGTTTTAAAATAGGAAAAATAAAAAAACAAGCAATTAGACAAATACCTGGATATTTAGCTCAAATTGTTAAAAAGAAAGTAGGAAGAAAGAAGGGAGAGAGAGAAGGGAGGAAAGCAATCTAGTCCTTACGTTGAATGGTATGTGCTCCGTGAGCCGGGAACTTGGTCTTCTTCCTTCCTCTGGTCCCAGTGCCTAGACAGTGCCTGGCACCTAGAAGGCCTATGATAAGTACTTATTGAGCCAACTATGCTTGTAGTCATGTTCTAAGCAGACAGAGAAAAGTCTACCCACTCTCTCACACACCAGCTCTTCAGGTGTTTGAAGACCCTCTCCATCATTCATCATCTCTTCTCTGGGCTCAACTTAATCATGTTCCATCCTTGTACTGTTTGTGTCCTGATGTTATTTCCCTCTCCCTCCCCTAACGCTGCCCCTAAGGTGACCTGGCCCATGAGCAGTATAGAGGGCCATTGCTTCTATGGAAAATGTCAATTTCTATAGAAAATGTCAATAATCCTCTGCCTTTGCAGTCGGTACTGAGTGCCTGGTAATAGATTGTGAAGGATTTCTTAACAGTAGTCTTCTAAGAATGGAACTCCTCAAAGTAGGGAGGACAGCCGTCCAAGAGCTAGGGTGACAGCAAAACCATTCTCTCTTAAGTGTCTTGACTGAAATGAGGCCAGGCCTTGCCACCCTTTGTTGAAGAGAGCAGTAGTGCTGTTTATAAATCTTTCAAAGTAGCACTGTGTCACAGATCCTAACAATTCATTATGAATCATAGGAAGTTTTAAATTCTTAAAACATAAACTTGTGAGTGCCTTAAAAAATCTATCACCCCTGCCCCGGCCATGTCACGGTGAGATATATAAATACATAAATAGAGAGAGATAGAGAGCTGTGGTTCTCAACCCGAGTTAATTTTGTTCTCCCAAAGGACATTTGGCAATGTCTGAAGACATTTTTGGTTGTCACAGCTGGGGGTGGGGTGGGGGTGGGGTGGGGTGTGAATGTGTGTACTGACACCTAGTGGGTGGAGGCCGTGGGTGCAGCTAACTGTCCTACAGAACACAGGACAGCACCCCCCACCCACAATGATCAGGCCCAAGGTGTCGGCGATGCTGACACCGAGAAACCTGATATGGAAGTAATAAAAAAATTCAAATATCGGAAGTACTTATTATTTTGAAGGTTTAAAATTTTAAATAGTTTAACATCTAATTATATGTAAATATATAACTAGAAAACATAAAGAAGTTTGGTCAGAGAATCATAGGCCTGAAAGGTCTTGTAAGAGGCTCTCTCTCTTACACCACCCCTAACTCCGAGCAAGAACTGATTTAAATGAATTCAGACAGACAGTTGGGCGTCTGAAGGCTTACACTGATGATTGTCAACTAAAAATGAGACTCACACAACATGACCCCCACATTCACACAAAGGAGGTTTTCTCCAATTTTAATTTCAGCCCCGGCTTCTTCAGAAGTGCCTGCCTTTCGATGGTCTCTGAGATAAAATGGCATTTCAATCTGGGCTAGTCCTTCCTTTTGAATCAAGGGCAGTGATTCTGTTGTGATGAAAATGTGCTTAGGGAGGAGGGAGATCTCATTACAGATGATTGAGATTGGGTATTTTGGTACACAGTGCTGTTTATTTGCATCAATTTCCTAGTGACACCACAGTCTGGTTTAAATGTAAGTTGTTGAGAGCTTCTATAGCCCAAAGACGGCTACATTTGCTGAAGCAGGGAGATTAAAGCAACATATGTCAAGTTGTGATATAGGACAATCCACTTGAAAAGACTTTAATTATAGGGCTTATTTTGGGAGGGTAACTGTGCTTTTTGTGAGATATATTTTGGGATGCACTAACCCAGCTTCAAGGCCAGTAATATCTTCCCAGAAAGGGTGTGGCTTGTGCTTGTGGACATAAATATTTTCCTACCAAAACCTTTGGTATAATATTCTTTCCTAGTTTACTACCAAACATTTTTCTTTTTCTGATAATCTTTCCCTTTGCAAGTATGCTATGAAAATGCGTTCTGGAAACATGGAGAAGAAAAGGATAAAAGATCTCATTTCAGATGGCCAAGTCCAGAGATTTAGGGCCTTTACATTATCAGTCTGCTGTGTTTAAGATGAATAGAATTTGGGGCACCTGGGTGGCTCAGTGGGTTAAGCCTCTGCCTTTGGCTTAGGTCATGATCCCAGGGTCCTAGGATTGAGCCCCGCATCGGGCTCCCTGCTCAGTGGGGAGCCTGCTTCCCCCCTCTCTGTCTCTGCCTGCCTCTCTGCCTACTTGTGATCTCTGTCAAATAAATAAATAAAATCTTAAAAAAAAAAAAAAAAAGATGAACAGAATTTGGAGAAATGTACCAAGGCTGAATAGTAAGCAGCATTGGGTGATGCTGAATATTTAATGTAAGAAATGATAGAAAAGCTACACATTTATTGCTTCCTGATTTGCCAGCACTGCCTCTCCAGCCCCCAAGGATTGTTGTGGGCCACCTCATTGCCCTTTTATCTCAGCTGACAACCTAGAGTGGGTGTCCATTTGCACATTTGCTCTTCAAGACTCATGCCTTTCCCCAGCTCTGCCTTTGGTGGCCTCCTTCACTTCTCTGTTAATACCCGAGGCCTTTGGCCTTCTTCAGCGGAAGGGTTGGAACTTTCTGCCCAGTCAGCATTTCCTAGTCCTCATTTGATAGCAAATGATAAAGGAGAAATTAGATCAACAAAATAAACTCACTTTTCGCTTACACAATGTGTGTGGTAGGTGGGTGGGGAGGAGGAACAGAGGTCGAGTAAGAACAATTTTTTAACCCAAAAAACCAACCACACCTGAGGGCAGAGAAGCACTTTCACCTAAATTCTAAGTCATAGAAGCAATAAAATGAGAGCAAGAATGTTCCATGAGGGAATTTCGGGAGGGAGGGTTGAAAGCAAAGCCTTCTAACTGTAGAAGTCTCTGGAGAGGTGTCCCTGTTCTCCCAGAGGCTGCAGCCTGTGCCTGGATCACCCAGAGAGAGAATTTCAGAGTGTGGGTCCCCGGGCCCAGTCCAGATGGCTAGAATCCAAACCCCTGTGGCAGGTGTGTTCTTCACGCCACTCTCCAGGTGGCTCTTGTCCATACTAATATGCACCCCTGCCCAGTCTCTAAGATTCTCTTCCATAAGCATGGCTGAAAAATGCAAAGAACAGATCAGCCATTTTGAAGGTCAGAACTGTGCGTGATGCTCCTTGCTCTGCTGTGCGTGGGAGGGTAGAGCACCATATTGTTACCTCGTTCTCTTGATCCTTGAGTTCATTCCTCCCTCATGGAGAGAAGCATTCTTCTCATTCCAGGTT